AGTTTAATCCCGATCGTTGTTATTTTTTGACTCGTGATTTAATCTCGATCTTTTTATTTTTTGACTTGTGATTCAATCCAAGTTCAATCCTTATCTTGTTATTCCTTGACTCACGGTGTTATCCTGATCATTTTTTTTATTATTTGACTTACGGTGTTGCCTTAATCAATTCTTTATTTTTCAACTCGTAATGTCGTCTTGGTCATTTTCATTACCACCTGATCTGTGGTTAAAAAAAAAATTTCAAAAAATCCATGATTTACTTCCGGATAAAATTGTTGTCTTTGTCTTTGCCCTATTCCTGATTCTCAATAATATGCAAAGAAGGATAGCTGTAGACACCGATTTTGTTCGAGTCTACTATCTTCAGTTCTAGTTTAATATTAATAGTAATAATTTTAATAATAATATTAATAATAATATCGATTTAATTAAAAATTAAAAATATTATAATAATCATTAAAAAAAAGAAGAGAAAACAAAAGGGTTGGTACAGCATCGCTGTCGACCCTGTCCAACCCTCTGCCTGACTCCATCTGATCCAGCCACCTTTCCTAGTCCCATCAGACCATTAACCTATGTGACCAGACCGGACAGCCACCAGATCAGACAGCCACCTCTACAGTCGTTCTTACAGCCACCTCCTACGGCCTTTAAGACACCCATACCGACACAGATCGGACTCTATAAAAAGAACCCAGCTTCATCCTCTTTTACTCTCTCTTGGCCATCCCCAAAATTCCTAAAAACGTAAAAACTCCCACACCCAAAAAACCCAAACACTGCTCCCCGTCACCCTCAGAAACCCCAAACTATTTCACAACCAAAATAATAAAAAAAAAACAACAAACAAAAGATAAAACCAAAAACACAGTCCTCCTCATAGGGAGGAACCCAACGCCGAGCCACCTACACCAAAGAAAAAGGCATTAGTTAGTTTCTAAATAGAAAAACAAAAAAAAGGAAAAAAATAACACAAAAAACTTTAAGCCCAGATCTACGACGATTGGGGCTACTTCTCATGAAAAGGACAATGGATCTAAATTTAGGAGGTCAAAAGGAACCTCTTGATCAATTTTGAAAATTTTAATCACTGGCGACCACCGTCGACGGTGACCCAGGTGACGGTCGACATGATGGTCCGACGATCGAACGACGGGAGATCTGGAGCTCTCCCTAAGGTTCTACCCCTTTTTTTTGGAACAGAAGAAGAATGAACCAAAAAATTTTTTTTAGTTATATATAAAAGCCTAAAGCCTAAAATGATATCGTTTTAAACGTAAAAGGATCCACACGTGCCTATTACCCAATCTGAGATTCGCGCAAATCGACCCGTCAACCCGTTCAACCAACCTTGAATCGATTTAACTGAACCATGCACTGAACCGTCATTCAATCAGTTCAATCGAACCGCTTACTGAGCCACCTCTATTTCGACCAAGCTGAACCGTCATTGACCGGTCTGGTTCAGGTATTTTTTTTTGAATTTTTGAATTTTTTTATATATTATTTTTTTATTATTTTGAGTTTTTTTATATATTTATGCATGATAAATTTTAAAATTTTTTAGAATAAGTATTTAATTATTTTAATAATAATAAAAATGAAAACAAGTAAGATAATAATTAAAAAAATATGCATTAAAAATGCTTAAATAATAATAATAATAATATAAAAAATAGTAATAAAAATTGAATTTTATTTTATTTTTCCTGCCTAGATGTTGGAGGGAATAAAAACATACTTCTAAAAATAATTTCACCTAAATGTCAGGGAATTATAAAAAGAAAATTCATAAAAGGTATAAAAAATTAAAATTAATAATAATAATACTAATAATAAAATTAATGTTATTGTTAAAAATAAGTTTTCATAAAAAGGAAAATATATGAAGATTTTTAATAAATTTTCAAAAATCATAAAAATTAAACTTGCTTCAAAAATCCGTTCAGATGTTGGAGATTTTTAGAGATATTCACGTTTTCTTTAAATCCTAAATTAAGCCTTAAATCCTTTAAACCCTAAAACCAAAACTTCAAATCTCAAACCTTAAAACTGAAACCCTAAAATCCAAAATTCAAAATCCTAAAATCTAAAACCTTAAAATTCAAAATTTTGAAAACCCTGAATTTGGTACGAAATCCCGAATCATTGCCCGAAACTCACCAAATGTTAAAACCTTGACCTAAACTTATACTCAAAACCTTTTTAAAATTTTAAGGATATGTGCGAAGATCTTAAGTGGAGTAATTTGTTCTCGAATGACGCATAGATAATGGGGTATTTAAAGAAATCTTATTCCATTAAGTTTTTCTCACGAGTCCTTAATTCTCTCTAACAATTGGGTTAATTATTGTTTAATAATAAAAAATGAATAATAATAAAATGGGATCTTAAATATAAATAGTCGCACCAAAGCTTCACCTAGATGATGAGGAGTCAAGGTGATCTCATTATATTTAAGAATTCAATTTCAAATTTACACTTCATTATCATATACAGCATTTATTGGCTTACATACATTTATTTGTTACTATTTGCACTTGTTTGCATTTCTTTTTCTTTAATTATTACTTGCTATACTATCATTTACTTTTTTGCACAAAAAATATTTTTTAATTTACTTACTTTTAAAATTATGATATTATAAAATAAAACAAAAATAACATTCTAAAAGAAATAATTCTTGATACTCTGCTTAGATGTTGAAGAGTCACCAATAATTATCTTTCACAAAGAGTGTTATTTTTATTTTAAGGAGTATTTTGTTTAATCTTAACCGAGAATAGTTATTTTAAATTCTACCTAGATGTTGAAGAATTTTAAGATAATTCTTTAACTTAAAGATTTCTTCAATATTCCTAAAAAAAAAATTTAAACAAAATTTATTTTTTTAAAAGTAAAGGAATTAATGTTAAATTTCAAATTGAAACCAATTTTATCCAACACTGACAATAGCGCGTAATTAAATGGTACCAATTTATGGGCATTGTGAGGGTGCTAATCTTTTTTCACACGTAACCGACTTCCGAACCTAACCTAATTTTCGCGGATCGAAATTTATCTTTTTTATAAACTTCAAACCATTTTTACAGTTTTATTAAAAAATTATTAAAAAGATAAACTTTTTGATGATCAATCACACCTTACAAAAAGATTGGTGGTGACTCTCTTTTTTTTTCTTGATTTTAAAATAATTTATATCTGACGATCTCAAAACTGTTACTACGACTTTCACAATATAGCACTTAGTTTCTCGTGTAGTACTTAATAACTCTCACAGCCTCATTGTGTATTACTTAATGACTTTTATGATATAGTATTTAGTTTTTATCAATTGATGATCGCTTTGATATTATTTATGGAGACTCGTATTCAACATGTGAGATATTATTCGTTTTGATTCAAAAATTTTATGATTCAAAAATTTTATGATTTTATCTAAAAAAATATACGTCATAAATTTAAAGTTAAATCTTAACTTATATATTATTTTTTATTTACGCATTATTTCGTTGAAATTAAGAGAGTTACAATTGGAGTTGCCATTTAAGAAGAAGATGAAGATAAAGTTAAAGAGCTAGTTCATCCAACAAATTTCTGCACTGTTTGCCCATTCTTTGACTGTCAGATATATGTCAATGGTTTTGGATATGGTTATGGTGGCACTTGATACTTGGAAAGTTAAGCTGGGATTCTTACCTTATCTTGGCCGACCAATGAATATCAGGCCTAAGCAGCCCATTTCTCTCTCACTGTCACAGTCTCACTCTTGTAGCTATGTTGGTTTCTCATCGACTGTCTATGCAATTTAAATATCATATAAAATAAATTAAAATAAATAAATAATGTTTCGAATGATTTTTAAAATATTTATTATAATATTTAAATTTTAAAATATATATTATTTGAATTATAATTTTATTAATTAATATATAATTAAATTTAATGTGATTAATTTTAAATAATAATATATGATAAATAAATAATTTTTTAAATATTATATTAATTAATATATTTATAATTTAAATAACATATTAAAATTTTTTACTATTTATATATTATCTTAAATATCTCATTACAATTTAAGATATATTTCATGTAAAAAGTATATTTGTGTCCCTCGTAATCGACACTAATCATAAATTTTTTATTAAATTAATGTTATGAATAAATTCATATCAATTAAGTTAAAGAATTAATACAAAATCATCACGTAATAATAAAATGTAAATTAATAAAAATATTTTAGAATTTCAGGCTCATTGAAAATTTTGTTTAAATTGATTTTTGTTAAACTTTAATTTTTTTTGTTTTTTGTTTCTATACTTAATTAATATTTTTATCTTACACTTTCAAGTAATTTTTAATTTTCTTTAATATTTATAAATAATAATATAATTATTTATTACTTATTTCACTCACAAACCCGAAAATTTCACTCACAATCACAAAAGTTGACGTGACAAAGCCTAATGAATAGAAAAACTCTTAAACAAAAAAGCCCGACCCGCTTCACGAAGTCGCCCGAATTCCACTTCTACGGACACCATCGAGAATTGATTCTCGGGCAGCTGGCCGACCGCTCCCGATTACAAGAGTAATGGATGGATTTTGAGGTTAGAGTCGATATTACATTAAATTTATGTTTAAGTTTAATTTGAAATTTAAAATTTAAAATTTTGTTAGAATTCAATTGAATTTTAAATTTTAAATTTAAATTCAAGATAAAAATTAAATAATTTTAATTCATTGAATTAATGTATAATATAAAATTAAATTTTTTTATAAAAAATTAATTATTTGTATTTAAATTTAAAATATTTTATTTATTAAAATAATATAAATATATTAAAATATAAAAAATTAATTAAATTTATAAATTATTCAATTTAAATATAAAAATATTTAAATATTATCGATAAATTAAATTATTTAAATTTAAACATCATTCAATAATCAATAATCGAATTGAAATAATTTATAAATATTAACACAGCATTTACAGCACTTATGTCAACAGTTCTTTCTCTCTCTCTTGGAACGCACCGAGTCGAAGGGCCTCTCTCCATATGCTGCCGTATTTTGTTCTGTAATGTATATCCTTCTGGAACGCACTGCGTTAACAAGTCAAGCAGCCTTTCCTTTAACACCCCTTTCTCTACCAGCATTAACACTTTCCAGCCCAACCCCACCCCGGATTCCTTCTTCAATTCACATATAGCTTCATAATTTGATTAGTTTTTGAAAATTGGGTTATCGTTTGGGGTTTTGATTTTGTCATACAAGACTTATTTCAAGGAGTTATCAACATTCAGCAGTACAAAAGAGTTTTAATTTTTTGTTTTGTTTAGGATTTTCGACTGCAAGTAACGGGGAATCTGCCCTTATAGATATGTGTAAAGGTGGTGGAATCCATTTTCTGGTGAGCCTTTTGATTTCATTGGTCGCTTTTTACTTGTGGGTTGAGAATGGAATCATCAGAATTATCTAAGAAAAAGCTGTTTACTTTTATTTTTATGTTTTCAATGGGATTTTTACTTTGGTCATGATTCCCGGGTCCAGTAGATTCTAGCTGACAATAAAATAAAGTTTCTTCTGATATGGGACTTTTAATTTGATCATGGATTATGTCGGTGAAGTCTCAGGATTTGTCGTGGCAGTACAAAAATTAACAGATTCCATGTAAAGCTTTAAAGCTTGAACTTTTTTTTGGTTATGTTGATTTTGAAATACTACGTTTACATGGATTGAATAAGAAGGAAAGAGGAAAACGGGTGATTGAGAAAATGTCATCCAAGTCGACAAACAAGATTAACTGCTCTCGGAGCAGTTCTTCTAGATCAAAACAAAATGCTCGTGTGGTTGCACAAACCCCAATTGATGCCAAGCTACATGTGGACTTTGAAGAATCCAAGAGGCTTTTTGATTACTCCTCTTCTATTGACTTCAACATTTCCAGTTCCAGTAGTAATGTTCCCTCTTCTACTGTGTCAGCTTACCTTCAAAAGATACAAAGAGGAAGTCTAATTCAGCCTTTTGGTTGCTTGATTGCTGTTGATGAGCAAAACTTCACGGTTCTTGCTTATAGCGAAAACGCTCCAGAAATGTTGGACTTGGCACCCCATGCTGTTCCAAGCATAGAGCAGCAAGAGGCTCTGACTTTTGGAAGTGATGTGAGAACACTATTTAGGTCTCCAGGTGCGACAGCCTTGCAGAAAGCTGCTAATTTTGGGGAAGTTAATCTTCTCAATCCGATATTGGTTCATTGTAAAACGTCGGGCAAGCCCTTTTATGCTATTTTGCATAGGATCGACGCTGGGCTAGTTATAGATCTAGAACCAGTTAACCCAGATGATGTTCCAGTAACTGCTGCTGGGGCATTGAAGTCTTATAAGCTCGCAGCCAAAGCCATTTCGAGATTGCAGTCCTTGCCAAGTGGGAACATATCTCTGTTATGTGATGTTTTAGTTAAGGAAGTTAGTGATTTGACGGGTTACGATAGGGTGATGGTTTATAAATTTCATGAAGATGAACATGGAGAAGTTGTTGCCGAAAGCCATAGACCTGACCTGGAACCTTATCTAGGCTTGCATTACCCAGCTACAGACATACCACAACCCTCAAGATACCTTTTCATGAAAAATAAAGTTAGAATGATATGTGATTGTTTTGCCCAACCAGTTAAGGTGATTCAAGACAAAGGATTGGCTCAACCGTTAAGTCTTTGTGGATCCGCATTAAGGTCTCCTAATGGGTGTCATGCACAGTATATGGCAAATATGGGATCAATTGCGTCTCTTGTGATGTCAGTGACTATCAATGAGGCTGATGATGAGATGGACAGTGAACAGGATAAGGGAAGAAAATTATGGGGATTAGTGGTTTGCCATCACACCAGCCCCAGGTTTGTTCCATTTCCGCTGAGATATGCCTGTGAGTTTCTAATTCAAGTATTTGGAGTGCAAATTAAGAAGGAAGTGGAGTTGGCTTTCCAAATGAGGGAGAAGCATATTCTGCAAACTCAGACTGTTCTTTGTGACATGCTTTTGAGAGATTCTCCAGTAGGAATTGTTACTAAATCTCCAAATGTGATGGATATTGTTAAGTGTGATGGGGCTGCGCTTTACTACAGACAGAAATTTTGGTTGCTTGGAGTTACCCCTACAGAGGCACAAATTAGAGATATGGCTGAGTGGCTTCTTGAGTACCATAGAGGAAGTACAGGCTTAAGTACTGAGAGCCTTATGGAAGCTGGCTATCCAGGTGCTTCAGTTCTTGGGGAAGCAGTTTGTGGGATGGCTGCTGTTAGGGTCACTGCAAAAGACTTCTTGTTTTGGTTTCGGTCCCATACAGCTAAAGAGATCAAGTGGGGTGGTGCAAAGCATGATCCTCGTGACAAGGATGATGGAAAAAAGATGCATCCAAGATCATCATTCAAGGGTTTTCTGGAGGTTGTCAAGTGGCGGAGTCTACCTTGGGAGGATGTAGAAATGGATGCAATTCATTCCTTACAGCTGATATTGAAAGGATCCTTGCAAGATGAGGTTGCTGATGATTCCAAAATGATTGTGAATGTACCATCTGTTGATCACAGGATTCAGAGGGTGGATGAACTGCGTGTTGTCACTAATGAAATGGTCCGCCTGATTCAGACAGCTGCTGTCCCGATCTTCGCTGTTGATTCCTCTGGTAACATAAATGGATGGAACACTAAAGCAGCAGAACTTACTGGCCTGACTGTTGAGCAAGCCATTGGCATGCCATTTGCCGATCTTGTCGAGGATGATTCAGTTGATATTGTCAAGAACATGCTATCATTGGCCCTAGAAGGTAATAGTGTGATTTATTTTTTGAACTTGCTGCTAATTAGATTATACTTTTTTTTTTTTGGTGTAGAAATTATATGCATGTTAATTGACTAGTATTTCAACATTTGGATATTTTTGTTTCTTCCATGTATGCCTCTGAGTAAACTGTGTCACTTACATTTGCATCCTTTCTTTTAGATGTTTGTTTAGCAGCAGTGCAATTGCATATGGAGTGCATAGCTGTGTTATTTACTGGAGGCATATTTGTAGGTATACTGATCAAGTATCGGGATTAAGGTTTTCTGTATTCTTCAGCATTGGTTGTTTACAGTGCTATCATGCTGCTTAACAGGTTGAATTTTTTGATGCTGCTTTCTGACCTATTTGCTGGCTGATGCAAATAACCCAAAACCGTGCATCTCCCTTGAGAAAGAAGGGAGTACAACTGGTTTTTTTTTTTTTTTTGGGGGGGGGGGGGGGGGGGCAAGGGGAGTACAGCTTGTTGAGTCATCTAATTGTTGAAATATGATTAGCATGTGTCTTTCTATTTAATCCTTTCTAATTGTTGAAATATTGTTAGTTTGTGATAGCCTGTCAGAGAACTAGATGCTATTTATAAATCTTATTCATTTTCTCTTAGCCATGTAATTGAACAATTCCTTTGTAAGATTGTGCTAAATATCACTTGGTTTACCTTTGTCTATTGAGATCCTTATCTCCTATCATCTTTTCTATTGCACTCTTTTGGCATTTTGTGAATTTATGCTGGCTTTCCATGTTGATGCAAATTGGCAGGTATAGAAGAACGAGGCATTGAAATCAAGCTTAGGACTTTTGGTTGTGAGGAAAATGATGGTCCTATCATCTTGGTTGTTAATGCATGTTGTAGTCGAGACTTAAAGGAAAATGTTGTTGGAATTTGTTTTGTTGGGCAAGATCTCACTGGCCAAAAGATAGTCATGAACAAATATTCCCGTATTCAAGGTGATTATGTTGGTGTTATGAGGAGTCCATCTGCTCTCATTCCCCCAATTTTTATGATTGATGAGCTTGGCCAATGCTTGGAGTGGAATGATGCAATGCAAAAGTTGTCTGGTATGAAGAGGGAAGAAGCCATTGGTAAGATGCTTCTTGGAGAGGTTTTTACAGTGGACAATTTTGGCTGTCGGGTGAAGGATCATGACACCTTAACCAAACTCAGGATATTATTCAATGGGATAACTGCTGGTGAGGATGCAGATAAATTATTGTTTGGGTTCTTTGATCGGCAGGGCAAACTTGTTGAAGCATTACTTTCTGCAAACAGAAGGACTGATGACAATGGAAGGGTCATTGGCATTTTGTGTTTTTTGCATGTTGCTAGCCCTGAGCTTCAATATGCTTTGCAGGTGCGGAGGATGTCTGAACAGGCAGCAGCTAGTAGCCTCAATAAGTTGGCTTACATCCGTCAGGAACTCAGGAAACCTTTGAAGGGGATTGTGTTAATGCAGGATCTGATGGGGGCTTCTGATTTGAGTAGAGAGCAGAGGCAGCTTTTGAAGACAAGTGTAATGTGTCAGGAGCAAATAACCAAGATTGTTGAGGACACAGATATTGAAAGTATTGAGGAGTGGTATGATTGTTTAACATGCCTATTACCTAAGTTAGCGTTGTTGATCTTGTTGATTTCGAATGAACATTAACTTTGGGTTTTATTTACAATTAATCTTTCATGGATTGAATATCATATTTCTCATTTTTGTATGATGTTGTTCATAGGTAACCCCCTTTTCTTTCTTTTTTTTTATTTTTAATTTTTATAACGAGAGTTTGCTCCTTGTGACACCTATTGCAGCTACATGGAAATGAACTCTGGGGAGTTTAACCTTGGTGAAGCCCTGGAGGCTGTCTGGAAACAAGTTACAATAACGAGCCAGGAGCGCCAAGTAGATGTTATCCGTGATTTACCTGCCGAAGTGTCATCCATGTTCTTGTTTGGAGACAATTTGAGGCTTCAGCAAGTCCTTTCAGATTTTTTGACAAATGCACTCCTCTTCACTCCTGCATTTGAGGGATCATCAGTCGCATTCAGGGTATTCCCTCGGAAGCAACGTATTGGAACAAAGATGCACATTGTTTATCTTGAGTTTCGGTAAAATCCATTTCCTGTATGTTTATGTTCATAGTAGATGCAGTCTGGCAAGTTTTTTATTAAAAGGAGAATAGATTCAACCACCACATTTGCAAATGCCGTTTTTCTTTCCTTTTCCTTTTTCTGTAGAAGAAAAAAAAAGTGGGGGGGGGGAGTAGAATTGTAGTAAATTTTAGTATGGTTAGCAGTATAAACACGTTGTCTTTGACTCAAAATTGACACAGGATATTCCTAAATTTGGTAAAATTGCATTTAACTGGTAAGTGAAAATGAGAACCCTATTTCTTTCATTTTTTTTCTGTTGATTTGTTAAGGTATTCCTTTCAAAATTTTCGAAGCACATTCGTCTTCTGAATATGGTGTATATAGGGATGGCAACGGATCAAGTTGGGGTGGGTTTTTCCTCGCCTCGAACTTGACCCAACTTTATATCTATAAAACCCGAACTCAATCCAACCCGATATTATATAAATCGTTCCAGACCTAATATGAAATTAATAAAATATTATTTTTAAATATAAAATGTTGTTTTTTAAATATAAAATTATTATTTTTAATATAAATATAAATTATATAAATATATATAAATAATTAAATAAATAATTATATATATCAGGCCCGGTTTGCTTAAAACTCGACCCTGATTTTTTCTTATTATTACCCAACCCGAAACCCGATTTAAAAAAAAAAAAAAAACTTATCCTATGAGATCGGGTTGAGTTGGACCCTCTCAGGAGTGGGTTGGGCTGCCAACCCTAGGTATATATGAGATGGTGACCATATTAATTCTTATCATATGTATTTATAAGTTGGTAGCATTCATTAGTTTGTGTATTCAATGGGTACTGAATGGAAGAAAGGTCATTCTTTACATGTCATCATTGCTGCATGGTGTACGAGTGACAAATACCCAGTTGTACAGAGTCTAGAACTGCTGAAATCATTTTTAAAATGTGGTGAAGTCTATACGGCAATATTTTGTTTACCACAATTTGCTTTAGATTTATGTTATACTTGTAGCTCCCTTTATTTAAAATAGTTGTTTTTATTGTTTACATCCTCAAAATATTGAATTCATTGGTTTTGTTCTTTGCTTATGTTTCTTGCTTGCCTTTGTTTTCTACATTGAATGGTCTTGCTCTTCCACCTTGCCATTAATCATCTTCAGGATGCATTGTAATACTTATGACATGAAGAAATAACTATTTTAAATTATTTTAAACTTTTCTTGTTGTGAATATTCAAACATTGTTGTTGGCTCTCACATGCAACTGGAGTGAATGGAGCAATTATATGGCATGTTCTTATATGTCCCTAATTAGATAAAGAATAAAAATAAGGCTGTTGACTTTGAGTAATTACATTGCAGGATCACTCATCCAGCACCAGGTATCCCAGAAGATTTAGTTCAGGAGATGTTTCACCACAGCCAAGGTGTCTCAAGGGAAGGTCTAGGCCTATACATCAGTCAGAAGCTTGTAACGTTTATGAATGGTACTGTACAGTATCTCAGAGAGGCAGAAGGATCATCCTTCATTATTTTTGTAGAATTTCCATTGGCTCGTCATCTTGGTCACCATTGAAAACTACGGCCCTGGGAATCTGATAAGCAGAGAACCAATGCTACTGCAGCTTCCACATTAACTGTATCAGTGGCTTGTCATCTCAACCAAACAAGTGCCTTCACTGTTCAGGGTCAAGTTGTGGTTATTCTGAGTCTGGATGATACTGGATGCTGCTCAGCCTGTCAAAGAGCATTCTCCATTAGAAGTTTATAAAGAAGGTGAAAAGTTTGCTGCAGAGTCAAAGCTTTTGGTAACACAAAAAAACCTGATAAATTCAGTCGAATATTTTACAACCTTCATTTATATAGGATACGCATATCTTTCTTGCATTACAATTCCTTCGCCAACGTTGCCGCTTTTGGTGTATAAGAGTTTGAGTTGGAGAAAGCAGGTAATACCGTACAGTGAAACCTCAAAGTGATCCTTTGACTTGATCAGAAACTCCTTACTTGTTATGGAGAACAAATAGTTTCAGAAGGCAAAAAGACCTTGGTGGGTGGTTGCTTGCCTCAAATTACTTAGCTGGAATGATGTAGAATTTATACCAGTTCTTCTCAGCTGTAGCTAACATCTTCTAGGCATTGGTACTGCAGTTAGTGGTATAGTTTCAGCGGTTCAAAGTTTCGAAAAACCTGTAGGAGTTATATTTTTACCAGTTTGAGGATCAGCGATCAACTTTTGCGTTTCTTGACCCTGTTTCTAAATTTTCCCTTCACTCCATTGATGATAGTATTCATATTTGTTTTTTTAGTTTTCTGTCTGTAAACAGCTTTAGCAATGTGTTTGTAAACGGCTGTAGGCTTGTTTTGTTCTGTTCGTAAACGGTTGTACATGTTCCGTCTGTAAGCACCTCTAGGCATGTTTAGTGTTTGGTCAATGTAAGCATGTCATTCATCCTGTTAAAAGACAATATATGGTATGGTATTTGTACTATCATCTGGATCGACATTTGACCTTCAATGTTACATTTACTCTTCACTTTCACTTTACCGTAGCCCGGTTCCACACTTCCTGATCACTTTCAGTTTTCGTGTTTGTGACTGTCAGAAATATGTTTTAGAATTCTGTAGTCAAATTGTGGGCTAACATTTAGCCATACATGTTAAATACTGTCGCGAAAATTGTCAAAAACTGGAGTCGTTTATGTGAGAGGTCAGGTCAATAAATTATTTGATTTCACTGCATCTGTGTTTGATAACCGTAGATGACCAAATCTAGTTGGTGGGGTCTTTAGATGTAGAACTCCAGTCTCCCACTCTCCTTGATGTTAATTTAACATATTTGGAATTGTTTGGGTCCAAGGAAACCCAAGCGAATGGAGAGTCAGCATTGGTTTCATTTTGTTCACCGGTGTCGTGTTTTTATCTTCGTTTTTATTTCACTTTCTATTTCTTCTTTCTTCTAATTATTGTGCCTGCCTGTGCAAAGGGCAAAAGATTTGCTGTCTTTCTTGACAAAAAGATGCACTGATATTGATTTAGTGGTGGGGTTACTCTCTTTCTTTTTGTTTCATTTTCAGCAGGAAGAATGCTGGGCAGCTCATCATGAAGAAATAAACCACTCTCTTTAGGATTTGAGGATCTCGAAGTTTGATAGGGATGTTGTCCCTTTGTCCCTTCTAAAATGGTTTGGAGAGTTATTGCTCATTGTGTGGTTAAGACATGTTCCCTGGAGCTTGTCCCCGTGTGTGGAATAATCCCTTGGACAGTGATTACAGAGTCCTTTCAAGTCAGAATTGCTGTCGTTTTTTTCCCCATTTGAAGGTTTTAGAACGGGACGAAGTGAAACTTTGAACTTTTCTGTTCAAGTAATTATATAGCTTATGTATTAGATTGCAGAAGGTGGACAAATACCTTTTGTTAAGTGAATACAGAGAAAACTTCTTTGGATTAAAATAGAATCAAATATTCTTCTTCCTCCAATGAAGGGGACGCTAATTGGATTAAATTTGCTCACTTTTCATTGTCCTTTTCTGGTGACTTAAAAGTCAAGTGAGCAATTGCTCGGTGGCTTCGTTTGATTAAGTAACGATCCGCAGCACGTGTGAGGCAAGGACAAAGACATTCATAAAATCGTATTGGGAAGAAAAATCAAGAAAGAAAGATCAAAGAGACTGCTTTTCAAGCCTTGTCTTTAGCATTAAACAAATAAAATGAAAAGCTATTTTGAGATGCGCTTTGCTTATAAACCTCGCATTTATCACTAAACCATATAGTTTAAAACTTTAAAAAGTTGAGTTCATTTGGCTATTTCTCTGGTTATATCTAAGATTCAAATCTTACTGCTTTTAACTCTTTTTTTTATTCTTAAGCGGCTTATTATGTTTTAAAATAAAATAAAATAAAATAAAAAACTTGAAAACATTTTCATGGATCCTAATTAATTAGCTTGTCTATGAACAAGAACTTAAAACCAAACTGTAAGATACTCTTCAATTGATATGCTCCAACAACTTAATTATACTTCAAATAACAAGTTTGGTAACCGCTATCATATCCCATTACATGATTATTTGGATAGGGAATCATTTCAACACAACATATAATTTACATAAACCAAAATTTTTCTGGGAAAAGAAAAACAGGGAACCAGGTATAAATGGGTGCAAATTATTTTTAAGTTAAGGGCTTTCAAGAGACAAGCAAAAGAAAGAAAACAAGTTACTGAAATCTATAATTTAAAGCTGGAAGATGCCTAGAGTCTTGTGTGTGTTAAATTCTATATTATTGAACCATAATCAGTTACTGATTCAAATTTGATTCCTTCCTTCATCTTTCTAATAAACTGTTCAAATTTCTTGTTTAACTCTTCATTACTCATCAACCCAAGTTCTTCATCTTCATCTTTCTCAACTGAAACAAGCTCATGTCTCTGTTCTTCTTCTTCATCTTGTACAACCAAGGGGACATCTTCTCTTCCTTGTACCAGGGGCGCCACAGAATCCATTTTTGATTCTTGTGCTTCTTGATCATCGACTTCTAGCATAACTTTTGCATTTCCAATGGATGCTTTCTGCTCTGATGATTCAACCTGTAACTCTGTCTGATTGCTTCCCTTACTTTTGAGAGTCTTTTCAGCTTTAAAATCAGTCTCCACCGAAAAGCTACCAATCAAACCAGAGCTGGTGGCAATGAAAACAAGTAGTCCATTGCAAAGTAGAAACATGTAATTCTTACCAACACTGAAACTAAAGAGTTGCAAACCATATGCCAAACTATGGAAGTTGCATAACAAAGGGTAGGATAATATAACAGAAAGGACTGAAAATGGTAGCAAAATTTTGGTGACAAACTTCAGGAAATGGGAGCTGCTGATGATCAATTGAATTGGAGTTAGAATGTTTTCCATACTTTCTGCTCTTTTTACAGCTCTGGAAAAGGTCTGGGTCTGGGTCTGGGTCTGGGGATAGAGATTTAGAAAAGCTTCAAAAGCTGCAGAGAGAGGTGCTTTTGAGATTAGATGAATGGCACTAGCTAAGGAGAGACAAGGCAAAAGCTTTTATACAAGAGTCGGGAGCTAATTCCTGGAAGGTAACCCCCGTTATCGAAGAAATAATAGACGCTGATTGGTCAATTATTTCATTCAGCTATGCCAATCCTTTATTATAGTATTCAACAAGTATATAATTAGCATTATGAAAAAAATTATTTTTTTAGTGTGTTATTAATATTACTAGGAAGATCAAGAATAATTTTTTTAATATATATTTCTGTGGTTGTATTCGTTACGCGTAAGCTAACATGCAAAGGTAAAATAAATTGCATCTATTTTTGAAAATTGACTTAAAAACATTTTTATTAAAAGCGATTAAATGAAAATTAAAACAAAAAATCTTGGTTATATGAATTAAATATGCAAAATTTTAATAAATTTTCATATTTTTTAAATATGTATTTTTATTAAAATTTTATTATTGAATAAATATTAATAATTTTAAATTATAAATAAAATTTTAAATTTGTATCTATTATTGATTTTTTATTATTTTTTATTAATTTATCTATTTAAATTTTTTATTAAAAAATTTTTAAATAATTTTTTTAAAAACTTTACAAGATTTTTTGAATCAAGTGAGATTTTTTTAAAAAAATATTTTTTTGTCTAAAATTTTTTGGTGATCGATAATTATTTTAAATTTTGATTAATTTAAAATTAAATTAAATCAGATTTCATAAAAAATAATATATTTTTAAATTTATTTTTTTATTTATAAAATTTAAAATTAATTTTAAAAAAAATTAAATTTTTTATCATTCGAATCCATAAACGTTAATTTTTCAAAAGTATTTATATCATGGACTTTGGATATGATGTTGTGCAAAGAAAGAATATTTTTTTATACTCTAAAATCAGATTTTATAATTTATATATTTATTTATGTAAATTATTGATAATTTATATATTTATATTAAATTTTATATAAAAATTATATATTTAGCTGGTGTTAGTATTAAAAAAAAAAAATTTTAAGATGAGGGATATCTTCTTGGTCAGTGTGATTGATTTTACTTGCAAAGAACGAAGAAGAAGAAGAAGAAGAAGATTAGAAATATCTTGCTGACCCCAAGTCAACAAGATTGATTTTATTTGCAAGACGGCTAGTGCAAACTGGGGACCCCTCTCTTCCTGGCATCGTCGAGGCCACACCTTCAGCTTTACACGTCACCGTTCTCACGTTACATGGTTTGACCCAACCAAATTTACCAACTACTACAGAAGTTAAATATTTTAACTACCATTATTAACAATGCTTAAGAAAAATAATTTTTGGCTGTTGCTTAGTGTTACCACCTTATTGGACATAATTTTTGATATTTTTGAAGTTATCAAATATTAAAATTATAAATTCAAAATATAACATCTCAACTGTTAAAATTTATGATATTTAATATAAAAATACTCATTTTTCATGATTCTCAAATAGCAAAACTAATGTTAAAAAAAAAAGGCAATATAATTTGTAAGTTTCAACTGATCCCTAAATTGTTATGCAAAATGGAAAATTGTGAACCGAATTTCAGTGACTGTGCCAAGTTCCCATGGCTCAATTCAGGGCTAGAAAATGTGTAAATTTTAAGAAAGCACATTAAAACCAAAGAAGGTAATCTAAAATTATCATACTTTGACCCAATCATAGTAGGAAAAGGGCGTTTTGATTGATTCTCTCCCTGCCTGCTTTTTCATTTTTAAAAGTATCATCATTTAACTCTAGGGTCCAAGCTTGACCATGTCAACCAACTGATTCCAACTTGCTACTGTTAACTTTACCTTGTTCTCCAAAACAACCATTTTCCCAACAGAGACCTTGTGCACAACAAAATTACTCATTTCTTTAGTTTTTGTTTGATCATCATGAGTTATAATAATTGCATGGCTACACGCATCACACCTTCTTCCTCTTCATCTTCAGTTTCCTCCTCTTCTGAATTCAATGTTTGCAAGCCAAGAAAATGTTGTTTCTCCAAATGGGTTTCTCATGTTCGTCCAAGAAACTATTTCCAGATCAAATCCTCAAATGAGAATCCACTAAATGTATTTTATATTGAAACGTTTTTGTTTGATCAATGGTGGCGAAAGCCCTTGTCATGAACTCAAACAAATCCGTGATCAAAATTGGGCATATGCAATTTGTAGCAACTCGTTCAGCTTGATGCATCAAATAACTATTTTATTGGCCCAATACCAGGCTGTCTAGGCAGTGTCATTATTTGAATCTTGAAGGAAATGACTTTCGCAGCATGTCACTGAATTTTGAAACGGGGACCAACCTCATCAGGTCACTCAAAATCAAAGATAATAATTTAGAAGGGAAGCTGCCTTAAAACCTAAAATATTTAACCATAGAGTGAGAATATTTATTATTTAGAATCCAACTTTATATATTATAAATATACCCATTTTTTACTTAATACCCTTAATGATATTTTTTTTCTCTCCATACTGTCACCATGGATTTTATGTCTTATTGCTTATTTCAATCTCATTTGTTGGATCACCAATTTCATCCATGTCACCACTGCTTCTAATCTAACCATTGTTAATGTCACTGCTATGCCAAACATATCCTTAATTATTATTTTTATATGTGAAATTCATGTTACGTGATAAATTTATTATTTCAACACATGAAGTGAATATTAAAATGATAACAAAAATTTTTCACATAAACTAAATTGAATGCATCCTAATTTTGTATACAAAATTACATTCATGTAATCAACTAAATAATCAATTATTACATTATAAAAATTATGATAATTAAATAATAATTAATAAATTAAAATATAACTAAACAATCAAATTCATATATAATAAAACTTAAATATTAAACCTCAAATTTAAAAAAAAAAAATTATTTTTCACTAAGGCCTCGGTGGCTGATTCTCATGACATATGCCTGCATTCATAATAAATATAAATAAATTTTTTTTCCAATAAAATGCATCCATTAAGTTTTCAGTTGACATATACATTATACATGCATTCATTAAGTTTTTAAGGAGTACAAAAGGAATAGCCAAAGCCCAGTCCAACAAAAACAATAGAAAAGGCCCGGCAAGAAGTTCTACCATCAGCCAGCGCGTTCACTGCTTTTCATACGGTTTTGATGTGGCGTGATTAACAATTCAACAATATTAAATAATTAATTAATAAATTAAATTTTAATTAAATAATTAAACTCATATATAATAAAATTTAAACTTAAGATCTTAAAATTTTAAAATTTTTTCTTTATCCTTAAATCAAAATTTTATTGACAATTACCTAGAGATTTTAGAAAGTAATAAGTCAATAATTTTTTTATAAATATTTTACATTATATACAAATAATTTTAATTACAGTTTGGAACAATAAAATAATGTTATAAAAGTGTTAATCGTCACATATGTAACAATATATGAAGATTATATTTAAATATTTTTTAATTTAATATAATTATAATATTGGAAATAATACAAATTGTTAAATATATTTAGTATTTAAATGATTTAAAATATATATTGAAAAAAATGTAAGTTGTGTCTTTATCAAGTAAATGAATTATTATTTTTTATTAATGATATTATCAAGATTCAGCACTTACAGCAATTAATTTTAAATATATTATTGTTTTGATTAGTGATTTTTGTATAGGGCGCTGTAAAATCGTAAGCTTTCTCTCCTATCACGAGAAGCTTGCTGTATTGGCTTTAATTATGAATGAAATTACAACCTTTTGACTGAGAAAAAAAAATTTTTTTTGATTGGTGATTAATTGCTTTGTTAATTAATGTAATATTTTCATTCCTATCCTAAAATTTGTATTAAACAAAATCAATATTTTACATTTATCTATAACTTTTATTTAATTAAAGAATTTTTCAGATAAACAATTTAACCTATTATTAATTTTTATAGATTTTTTAACTTAAAATTTAATTTATTAATTTATATAAATTATTTTTTAAAAAATAATATTTAACATTTAAAATTTGAATTTTATCTTAAAGGCTGCTATCTTTGCTGGAAAAAACGTAATAAAATGGAATGAGTGAAGGATTGTCGCTCGCAAATCTCAAAGAAAAAATTAAAAAAAAAACTAAACCCTAGTAATATAGCTGTAGTTAGTAGGGGTAGGCCTGCTGGAGTACGTAGTAGGTTTTGGTTTGTCGCAGATGGAGAGAGAGCAGAGTTGGGCCAGAACCAATTCTTTCTCTATCCGGAATCGTTGATAAGACATGAGCAGGCCAATCGCCATCCCTTTCCCTTCTCTCTCAGACTCGGCCCTTGACTCGCTTCTTCCCTTCGCGTCAAATTAATGATGATGAACTTTGTTCTTCTCGTCAAATTAATTGGCCGGGCCTAGCTGCCTCCACTCTCCTGCCCTCCCCTCACCATGTTTGTGTCACTCTTTCTACGGTCCTTCCAGTCCAGGGACATGTGCCACCACTGACCACCTCACCACCGCTCTCTTTGATTTCCTTCTCCGAGCACTTTTTCCTCTTGCAATTTATTGTTGCCTTGACCTTTCTATTTTTTTTTTATGAAAGACTTTTGAGTTTGGTTTAATTAATTTATATAATTATTTTTTAAAATTAATATTTAATAAATTTATAATTTAAATTCTAACCTTTTAATTTTTATGTTATTTTTCAATTACAATTTTTTTATGAAAACTTTTATTACTCTTTTCTCTCCAAACAACCAACTAATTTACCTATCAAAGTAGCCAATTACTTTTTCAAAACTAGCTACCTCGTCCTTTTTTAAAATTAATAGTAGTATATTTGTTATTATAATTACAAGTACAATTAAGTAAGGTAAAAACTTAAAAGGAAATGAGAAAATTAGGGAGATTTACCTTTTACTTAAAAAGTACAATTAATTAATAATTAATATCCATCCTTTGGTTAAAAGATAATTTTGAACTTGCAATTTCACACTTTATCTCATAACTTGGCTGTTGGAGTTAATATTTTATACTTTATCCATATATAATTTTATATATTATTAGTGAATTAAATGATAATATTTTATTAATAAATAAATTTTAAATTTTAAAATAAATATATAATAAATTATTTTTTTTTAAATTTAATCATTAATAAAATAATATTATCTAATTCATTTTATTAACAATATATTATCATCCAATTTATTGATAATATATTAAATATAAACTCTTTATATTACTATAAAAAAATGTTTTGTAATTATAATTAATTTTATGGTTATAAATTAAAAAAATTTTCATAGGGATGTAATGAAAAAATCAAATATGACAAAAAAATGTATGTAGGATTTACCCAAAACAAAATAGCATTTACGTCTTTATATTCTTTGAAGTTATCTAATTTAAGCAAATCCCCATCATAGTATTATATTAAATACTTTTATTCACACTAGCAAAGCAATGAATCCAGTCATGGCTATTGATTTTTCTGGAGCTAATTTTTTAATGTCGCATAAGTAAAGAAGAAATTAAGTCAAAATGAGGGAGGAAAGGTCGAAAGTGGTTTTGACTAGATCTTTTCTTTTGCATATGATATGCAATCATATGTTGATATAAATCTTGGGATTGGGCTAGTTTAAAATTAAGCGTGACAGGTTTTGTCTCTCATCCTTGGGCATAAGAATAGGATTTGTGATGATTATTTAGCCATGTACAAAATAATTTCTTCCATAGATTCTATAAAAAAAAAAAAAAGTCTTTTTTTTAATTATTATTGTTTAAGCAAAAAGATGGCCAGTGCGTAGATGCACATTGCTCTTCTCTTCTTGATCCTAAATTTATGAAATTTTTAAACATACCTTTTTTTTCAATCTCATGTTTATTTAATTGTACGAACATACTAAATTAACCCAAAAATTGAGGTAAGCCTGTGACTAGCTTTTTCAATGACAGTGTCTGAGTAGGTCTGTTAACAAATCCGAGGTGGCTACTCTTTGTACTAATCCGATAGCTTCCAAAGACACCTTTGATTTATATATATGTAAAGTTTTTTTCTTTTTTGACCTAAAAAGCTTTAATAGAGGATAAAAGAGAAAGTTGGAAAAGAGGATACACCTAGGAACGCACCTGAAAACACTGTGGAAAATCGAAAAGTCCATCAGTTTTCTCTTGTGAACCTCATACTATCTCCTGGCTGTTTCTGCAGGGCGGGAAAACCACTTTATTTGATGTATGTTTTTGTATGCATACTGATAGATTGTGTATTTTTGTATGTATACACATATGTATGGATCGTAGCTTAAAATAAAGTGAAATGAAATTCTCCTATATATAAATATATATATCTAAGAATCCCAAACACCCTCTTTGGGGTCCCTCAATTCGTGTCTTTATCTACACTTTTTAGTCCTTGTTTCTCTGTAGCCCATTCTTTCTTCTCCTTTATAGCTTCTCCATTTTTCATAGCTTCTCCATTTTTCAGTGATGTCTTCTTCTTCTGTAGATGGCAATGACAATGGTGCAAGTAGAGGTGGTAATTTCGCAGGGCCTTCATTGACTCGTAGACGTGCCAATAACGAAATCTGGCCTGGGCCTTTTGTTGAAGATCTTGTTGTCCAAGTTGCCATTGATGCTTCTCGTTCTCTTGGTCGGCTTTCCGCAGCTGCTGCACTTGTCAATGTGTTTCAGGTATGTTTTTGATCATCTTCAATTCCCCTTTTCTTTGTATATAATTTTTGGTTGATTTAAGGAGATAGAATTGATTGAATTAGAGCATTCTTGATTGGAAATTTTTTTTTTTAAGTATCATTTTTGAGTTCTATCAACTTGATATATTGTTACTGAAAATGTTATTTTGTTGTTTTCATTTCCATCTTCATAGCATTGTGATGGCAGAAAAAAAAAATCACTAAATTAAGAAGATAAGAAGTTATGAGAAAGGACAAAAACTTACTCTGGTCAAAAATATCGTTTTGAAACCTGAAATGTACTGTAGTTTTACAGATTATGGTACCCAGATATTGATTTCTCTTTTTTTTTTTTCCTACTTGAGAAATTCTATTCAATAAAAGAGAGCAGAGTGAACTGGCTTAGGAAGGGAACTGACTTTGGATGGGTCCATTTCTAACAAATTTATGTCCCTTTCGGACGGTGTAGTTTCATCTTGGCAATGGTAGTTATTTCCTTTTTACCAATTTCGAAATGTCTATTCTTGGACCTCTTTTTATACATTGAGGAGAGAGAGAGAGAGAGAGAGAGAGAGAGAGAGAGAGAAGAAAAAGGAAATATTTGGATGAAATTATTTTAGGTGAAGTTAATTAAGTTTTTTATAAAAATAATTAAATTAAAATTAAAATTCATAAATTAAAAGGTATCGAATTATAAAAATATGCAAAATTTAAAACATTAATGAAAATTTTATCATTATATAAATAAGTATAAGATAAATTTAAATTATAAATAATATTTTAGATTTAATTTTTTTATTAAATCATTTTAATAAACAACTTGACAACTTTCCTCTTTAAGAACTTTATATAAATTTTGTTCGCGGAAAAAGGCTCTTTTGTTTTTTGAATTTTCTTTTTCCCTTTCTTGTCATGATCCTTTTTTAAGCTGTAGAAATTCTTCCAACTTTTTTGAATGACCTTTGTTAGCTACCTGGTAAATCCATGGGATTCTTTCTTTCCTTATGCTAAAATGTAGAAAGAGACCTTTGAGGCTTCCTTTAATTTTTAACAGTGTTGGGAATTATGCATAGCATTTAGCATGATTTAAGGCCATGGTCTTTGTTGTACTTTGTATGTCTCTTACTTTGCTCATCTAAGTCTTAACATTTCTATATTTGGTTAGCATTGGATATACTGGAACCTTTTAGATATATATGGGAACTGTTGCCTGTGCTTACATATTTATGCAATAGTTTAGGACTTCAGGTCTAGGTACTATTCTCTCTCTCTCTCTCTAGGTTTACAGCTTGCTTAATACTTCATGCTTCCATCCCATATATGTAGTAATAATGTCTGTCATTTTATGTGTCAACCCAGTCAAGCTAATATTCAATGTGAAAACATTCATCAAGGCTTTGTTTAAGGCTTTATGGTTCTTTATATCTCGCTACTCGATGGTTCTAATAGTGGGGATATCAGTCAAAAGCCAGCATGTGCAATGCCAAAAAGCACATGGAGCCCAATGCTGGTTTTTGAAAACTGATGTCCCCTTGTCATCTCAGAGATAAGGTCTTCTCAATTTTCTTATGCCCAGAGCCCAGTTGGTGACTTCTTCTTTGTTCTTTTCTTGTGTGTGTATATATATGTTGAATGAATTTTTATATGATTCTAGATTCTCAAACTTCCTTAGAAACATTACCCATTTTTTTCCTCCAGTTTTTATGTTTACTGTTCTATTTTCTGTCAGAACCCTATCAAAAGTTAATTCAAAGACTAGTTTAGATTTTTTTTTCTTTCTTCTTTCATGTGCTTTATTTATCAGTACTTACTCAACATTTATTAATAAATAAACAATCATATACTAGTACAACAATGAATTAATTAATGTTTAAAAGAAGGAAGGAAATCCAGTATTTTTATGATAATAAATCATGGTGCATGAATATAGTAGGGACCCAAATAACAAGAGAAACATATACTAGGAGGACTGGATCAGACTGGAGAAGGTATGTGGGATGTGGAAGTATGGGGTTTTAGGGACAACAGCTACCCAGTCCCCCTCGTCTTTTTTACTTCCTTTGTCACAACTCTCATAAAACTAAATATAATCTTCCTCTAAAAAATTTCCTATTCTCTCATGGTCTTCACAAAGTCTTTCTCCTTCTGATTTCAAAGTTATTCAACCACCTGACCGAGGATTCTTTGTCTTTTTATTGCAGCAGCTAATTTTCTATCTTTGTTCTCTTGTTGGCTGGCTCTCTTTGAAACCAAGAAAAATTGGATAAGAGAATAAAAAAAGTATGAAATAAAAGGTTTTGAAAAGAAAAAGAACTGTCACTCTCTTGCTCGCAGTAGTACGTCTGATGAGGTCTTTGAAACACTACAAGTCTATGCTACAAGACAAGTCCAGTCAACGCTATATTTTTGGAAAATGAAAAAAAAAAGTTGCAAATAACATAAAAACAAAACAAAACAACACCCATCTTCTTTTATTAAAAGCTTTTTTTGGCCAATATTTAAAAGCGCATGCCGGCCCCGATTTGTTGACTGGCTCTTATCAATTTTTCTTCCCGCTTTTATCTTTTGCAGCCCTAGATTTTTATACAGATTTTACGTGTATGCATGCATGAGCTAAAGATTTGTACTTTGGGAATTTTTTTGTTTTCTATTTTTCTTACGTGGAATTAGTTTGCATGCAGGTTTGTTCTACGTGGCATACTGTCTCTCGCTCTGAACAACTGTGGCACCGTCTCACAAGCGTCATATGGAGCCGCACCCACCCCTTGCACGACACGTGGCGTGAGGAATACATGTACCGTCATCGAACGGCTCAGAATTTTCGTGCTGGGAGATCATTTCATGTGACACTCCACTTGGACGTCCCAGATGGGCTGATGTGCCGTTGCCTCACCCTCTCTGACACCCACCTCGCTTGCGGCTTCGCTGATGGAACAGTCCGCCTCTTTGACCTCGCCACCCGCCTCCAAGTGGGCTCCTTCCACACCCACCACGGAGACCATTTGGGCCTCTTCTCACATGCCGTATCCGGTATTGTCATCACGGACCCCAGGCTCATTTTCGCCAAGTTGGATGGCGACATCCACGTGGCGATCATAGATGGGCAGCCGCAAGCGCGCAGGGCTCACATGGGCAACGTCGTAGATGACGGTGCATTGGTCGACTTCACCGGCTGTGGGCGCTGGTGGGTGGGCCTTTACGCGGGGGTACCTGGCCGTGCTTTCCACATTTGGGACGGTAACACCGAAGAGCTAGTCTACGTGAACACAACTTTGACTGACCCAGAAGCCTTAAGGGGGTGGCACATGTTGACTGAATTGACTGAAACTATAGGCCGAGTAAGGGTGACGAGTCAGGAATCGGTGGTGGCATGTACGAGCTTGAGATACATGGTTTTGGACTTGAGAAACCCGGAGTTCCCACTGCACGACCAGGAGAGTAGAAGAGGGCTTATAGTGACTTCCTTGGATACCAACAACGAGGCGTTCATGACGGTGGACAGCCGAGGGTGGGCTATCGTGCGCCGGGTGGATACTTTGGAGGAGGTGTGTAGGTTTAACACACGGCAGAGGAACGTCATGGGCTGCATGAACTTAGGGTACGCGCTAATTTGCGTCACGGGTGTAATAAGGGTGTGGGAGATAGAGCATGGGCAACATTTGTACAATTTGAGTGGGAACATAGGGGGAGTCAACGCTATGGTGGCAAACGACAGGCACGTGGCAGCAGCAAGCAGTGCCACGACGATACACCTATGGGATTTCGGTGCACAGTAGGGTAGGGATTTTAGGGCATGGATGGATAAGGGGCGATGAGAGGATAGGAAGGGGACCCTGTACTGGATGGAAAGGAGTCAGACAAAATGTACTTCGGAGAAGTGACAATGATTAAAGAGAAGGGGATTGTGGATTGGCGTGTGACACGCTTTTTCGGGGACTTTTTTAGGTTTTGGAAAAAAAAAATAGTGGGGTAGCGACAGAGAGTGACCCAGTGTTGACGACGGACTTAGGGAAAACTGGTTTAATTGGTACTGCTTTTGACTGAAATTAACAAAGGAGAAAAAAAATCAAAGCCATTTGGTTCCATAGCGCCCTCCTTTTTCTTTTAGAAAAAGGATGTATTCTTTATATTATTTGCTTGGGATTGTGAGTTTGTGATGAGCGCGGCAGGCATGCCATTTGATTATTGGCGATGGCCAGTTGCCGTACCCTAGCATATTTACACAATAATCTATCGGTTTTCCACCCAATATACAATATTCATATATTAATTATCTTCTTTGAAGTGGTAGGGACGTAGGGTTCAGTTTTTTTTTATTCTAATCGATGGCCAAACTTTTTTACAAAAGCTTGGTGGGTCGAAATTACTGTTTTATTTCTTTTTATATATTTGCTAAGCAGATGGTAATTAAAAAAAAAAAAAGTTTGGGAGTTAAAGTTAAGGTCTCGAATTTTTTTCTTTTATCAAAGTTAAACCAGTATTTCAACTTCACAGTAACTCTGCAATACAATTTTTTTTCCCACGTACAACCACATTTGTTTGACAGATGATTTTCTCATTTTTCTAAGGAAATGGAATGAAAATACTCACTCAATTAAAATACATATATATATTTCTATTTGTAATGATGCTGACATAATAAATAACCACTAAAAAGCAATGATTGGATAGCTATGCCCCAAAAGTCGGAACAGTTTCAGGGTGAAATCACAAACAAAGAAACAAAAGCTAATTTGGACAGACATGCATCGCACATTAACTAGAAAAGGTTCCAAGACAAGTAAACCAGCGATTCCAGCCTCGAAGAGAATTTTGCCTCGACTAAGATCTAAAATTAAAGGTCAACGGAGCCCTCAGTGATTCCTATGTATGTATGTATGTATGTATGTAGCAATGGCACACTTAATCATATGGGGGAAGAATCTAAAGCATTACAATTTCTCTGATTCATGTCTCAATCCCTGATGCTACTCCAACATGTCTTCTCCTTCCCTTTCCTACTCTTGTTGTTCATGCCTATGAAACAATACAGGAAACATTCCAAAGCCTACAATATGAAGCAGAGACTGCCCCCTGGGCCTTGGAAGCTGCCACTGATTGGTAACTTGCACCAAATGTTCGGCTTACTACCTCACCGTCACTGGAGGAACTTGGCTAAGAAATAGGGACCCTAAATGCATCGACAACTTGGTGAGGTATCGGTTCTCGTTGTTTCATCGCCAGAAGCAGCAGAAGAGGTGATGAAGAAGCACTACCTAGTGTTTGTGCAGAGGCCTCAACTTCTTGCTGCCAAGATTATGTCTTATGATTGAAAAAGTATCGCATTTTGCCCAAATGGCAGTTTTTGGAGACAACTGCGAAAGATTTGCATATTGGAGCTCTTAAGTGCCAAACGTGTCGAGGCATTGGGATCAATAAGGGAAGAGGAGGTCCAGAATATGATTGAATCCATTGCTTTGTCTGGAGGACAACATGTAAATCTCAGCCAGAAGCTATTCTCATTAAGCAACCACATAACTGCCAGGGCTGCATTTGGTTCCAAGTGCAGGGATCAAGAAGAATTCTTATCAGCAATAAAAAAAACTCTGGACCTGGCTGGAGGCTTTAATGTACCTGACATATTTCCTTCACTAAAATTTCTTCATCACTTTAGTGGGGTGAAGCCTACACTGGAAAGAATTCATCAAAAGATTGACAAGATACTCACCAATATAACCAATGAGCATAAGCTGAAAAGAGAAACCACGAATTCTGCAGGCAATGTTAAATTAGAGGAAGATGATCTAGTTGATGTGCTGCTAAATCTTCAAGAGTGTGGTGACCTTGATTTTGCTCTTACAACTGAAAGCATCAAAGCTGTCATCTCGGTATGTCCCTATACGATATAGGTGCTTGTCATCAGTAGTAATCAAGTTCATCTTATCCATTTTTCAAACCAATTGAATTGAAACCTCAAGGTGCATCATACTAATATTAGTGGATTGACATATACGGACTTTGGCGCTAGCGTATTTTTTCTTCTCATTGCATTAGATTAATTTGTCCCTTATCTTAGCTTCAAATTGAAACTCCTTTTTTCTATTTCCAGGATATGTTTACTGCAGGTAGTGATGCTTCATCAACAACCATGGAATGGGCTATTATGTCAGAACTGATAAAAAACCCAATAATGATGGATAAGGCACAAGCTGAAGTAAGAAGTGTCCTCAAAGGAAAGAAGGAAATAAAAGAGAGACACAAAAGAAGTTACTGACTTGACATTAGTTATCAAAGAAAGTCTCAGGTTACATCCTCCTGCTCCCTTGCTGGTCCCAAGAGAAGCAAGAGGAAGATGTGAAATAAATGGATATGAAATACCTTGGAAGACTAGAGTCATCGTTAATGCATGGGCGATAGGAAGGGATCCAGAATCATGGAATAATCCTGAGTGCTTTAAACCAGCAAGGTTTCATAACTCTTCCATCGATTTCAAAGGGGCAAATTTTGAGTTCATCCCATTCGGAGCTGTTAGGAGGAAGTGTCCAGGCATCTCATATGGTATTGCAAATATCGAACTCCCTCTTGCCTTGTTACTGTATCATTTCGATTGGAAACTGCCAAATGGGCTCGGAACAACTTGACATGAAAGAGTCCTTTGGACAAGTGTTAAGGAGGAAGAATGGTTTGCACTTAATAGCCACACCTCATTTTCCTTTTGCTCCATTGTCCAAGCGCATTCAACGAAGATAGAAATGGACCTGCAAGAGAATTTCCAGGTGTCCAACCAGCGGGACAACTTGAAGCACCTCTAATGATTGTAGTCTTGTTGCATTTTTCTTTTCAATGGAAGACAGAATTAAATGCAGATATGGAAACATAAACTCCACACTTACCATGCACGGATAAAGGATAGTGGTAGAAATTAGTTCCATTGGAAACTGAAATGGTCGGCTAAATAGGGAATGAGCTAAAACTGGATTCTAATCTTTGATACTAACAAAGATGAGTCAAAACATATAAAGCATATAGAGGCTTGTTTGCCTGTTATTTTGTTACTGTCGTTAATTTTAGCACCATTCCATCCATTATTAGATAATACTTGTGGGATACTCTTTAAAACACACCAAATAACAGTTCAGCTGACCGTTGATGGAGAACAACCTTGAACATACCTCCAGGTTGAACAACAAAAGCTACCATTTTCATCAAATATATAAATTGTTTAAGCTCATAGGGAGCTAGGAAGATATCAGATGCTAAAGGTTTGAGTCCTTAACTTGTCCAAAAATAGAGAAGCTACCTAGCATTAGGAACTTCATCATTGGCTGATCCACAACCACATCCTAGCTTGAGAACTTTAAGCTGGAGGTTTGTATCTTTACGCCTATTGGCCACAACTATGTGAACACTCATACACGACCAGATTGCATTTATTTCATCAATTGAAGCATACAAAGAAATATGGATACAATAATGATCTTAATTACAGGAAATTACTCAACTCATATTTTGCAATTGAATATGGATGTATGATAGGAAAAAAACCACAAAGCAGAAGGTCATCCATGTTATTTAACTAGCACTCATCAATGAGTAGAAAGTAGAAACTCCAAGATAGGAGAAAACCAGAGCTCAATGTGATCAATGCATTTGGAGCAATACTTAAAACAAAAGACTCGTATGCAGCTATAAAGCTACATACAAAGCTACATACACAGAGATGAACTAAGTGGCAATTTATTTAAGAGACAAGAATAAGTAAAGTAAAAAAGGTGATAGCATTAACCAAAATCTCAGAGAACCTAGGGTGTCCATATATATGGGGTGCAACAAAGGACCAACAATATTACAGTTCAAGCAATTTAACCACAAATTCTCTGTGAAACTTGCAACATTGGAAATATATCGAAGACTCAATATTGGAAGATGTTATCTGAGAAACCATAAAGCAATAACCGGAAAAATGATCCTCATTAATAGACATATGCACAAAGAATCAGAAAAACATCTGTAAAAATTCTCTCTTTCCAACATGTAAAATATTTAATAAAATTAAACAGGGGGTGGTTTTTTTTAACTATCAACAATAGGCACCTTGCTATTGTTTTGGTACAGACAATAAGAATCTTCCTTCACTTCGACTAAACATAGTTGTCTTAGTGTATACTCTCAAATAAAACTCGATAGTGTCAACTTGACAGTATCCGAGCATTGAAGTTGGAGCACATGGAATTATACAAGTTAAATCAAAATGTCTTGTCCCCATTTTCTGGTTGGGAATTGATAGTTTTGGATTTATCAAATCCTCCTGGCAGCAGGTGTCTGTCTTCCAGTTTTTTGCATAAGATCGTTGCCAATTGATTTTTACCACATTGGCAAAGTCCATTGTGGAGCTCAGATAAAGTACCAGAATCAGGAATCACTAATCTATCAATCATATCATTCAACACCTGTACTGCTCCATCAAAATCCTCATTCTTGCAAAAGGTAGAAATCAACATATTATAAATGCATTCATTTGGATGACAACCACTCCTGAGCATGGTCTTATAAATCTGGAATGCACGGTCAGAGTTGTTCCTGACACACTGCCCACTAATAAGGGCAGAGAATGTTGAAGCATTTGGAACTAAGTTCTCCTTATCAAGTTCTTTAACCAGATAAGCAGCTTTCTTTGTCTTACCCTCCTTGCATAATCCCAGTATCAATGCATTGTATGTCAGTATATCAGCCTTAACTCCATTCTTTGACATGTCCTCATAAAGCCTGTTGCTCATCTCACTCTTACCTGCGAGGCTGTACCCGTTTATCAAAATATTGTAAGTTACAATAGTTGGGGCCACATTCAGGGCTTTCATCTCATTGAAAACCTTGTTTGCTTCATGTAATTTCCCTTCCCTACAAAAACCATTTATTAGGGTGTTAAAAGTAACCACATTTGGGTGCACTCCATCCTTCCCCATTGAGTTTTTAAGCTTCACAGCCAAGTTCAAAAGACCCTTGTTACAATACCCTGCAATCAATGTATTGTAAGATGCAATGGTAGGACTAAAACCCATACTCTCCATCTCTTTTAACAACTCCATTGCCTTATCAAGTTTTCCTGACTTGCAAAATGCATGAATTACTATATTAAAAGTGTATACGTTGGGAGAAATCCTGCAACGCCACATTTCTCTGTAGAATCCCAAAGCAATGTCCACTCTATGTAAATCTAGTAACGAGCTCAAATATAAATTACATGACTTAACAGTTGGCAAAAACCCATAATCCTTCATTCGAGAAAAAGCATTAGTAGCATTCCTAAACTTCTTCGAATGTGCATAAGTCTTAAACAGTAAATCAAACACACGAGGAGAAGAATCACATATCCGATAAGAATACAGTATTGCATCAAACAACTTAGCTGGCAATTCCAATGAACCAGACACAATAATACTCCTCAAGACCGATTCTGCTGATTTAAATTTCTGGCTTTTGGTGAGAATGTGGAGAATCATTGAATGAGTTTCAAGGGAATGTGAAATGGGGTTTTGAGTTTTAACCCAATTGAAGAACTCAAGAGAAAGAACATGGTCCTTTTGAATCTTTAACAAAATATGCTTAACTCTAAATGGGGTTAAGTGGGTAGACAAAGCATTAAGCTTATTCCAATCAGAATGAATGAGGTGGCTATGAGCAACATTCACAAAGTCAAGGTCTTGACCTCTGGGTACAGGGATTGTCCTGAAGGGTATTGGAATTGGATTCCAAATCCTTCTCCTCGAATTCCCATCAGTGAAGGGTTTTAAAGAACTGGGTTTTACTTTAACAGAATCAAACAAAGTTGAGAATCGACGACTTGACAAATTATTCATGAAACTACCAGAAAAAAAAAAAAAGGAAACTTGCAATCTCAGTGTTTAACAAAAGGAAAAGAAAATGGGTAGCTTAAATTTTTCTTAATCACCTGAAGATCACCGTGCTTTGTTGAACGCAGCTAATGAAGTGGTGCAGGTTCCTGCGCTTTCCAAGACCCAGTTTTTCCAGACTTTCAGAGTTCAGGAAATGGGGAAAAAAAATGGAATGAAAAAAAAAGGCCAAAAACAAGAGTGGGGGGATGGACTTTGAGTTGGGTTTTCATGGGCTTGTAAAGTTTGCATTTTGAAGTTTAGTTACTTCTAGTGGGCTTGTAAAATTGAAAATAATTTGTGATATTATCAAAAAAAGAAGTTTTAAACTCAAATAAATTCTTTTGCATTTAAATGAACTTTTAATTTGGATAAAATAATAAAAAAATTCTAAACTTTATCATTTTATTTATATAAGTTTCTCTATTTTTATTATATCTAAATAAATTTTTAACTTTTAATTTATAGTCAAATAAGCTCTTTAATTTTTAATTTGTATCTAAATAAACACTAAATAAACTCTTGACATAATTTAATCTTTTATTTAAAATAAAATTTTATTTCTATAAAATAAAAATATAAAAAAGATCATTTAAAAAAAAACAATTTAAGAATTTTTTTAAAATATTTTAATCTTTTTAATTTTTACTTTGATCAATAAAAAAAATATCAAAACTTTAAACTATATATATATATATAATAATGTTCTAAATTCGCATGTTAATACTTATTTTACAATTTTTTGTTCTTGATTTATTATTTTTAAAGCTTCAGGCGTAGGATTTCAACTAGATTTGCTACATTCCTCTTATCAAATTTTTTTTTCCTTTTACTTTGGCACCTATTATGATTTCTTACCCTTTAAAATATAACTAATTAACTCCATACATATAATACAAGGTATCATATATAATAAAAAAACGTTTACATGGACACTTACATGAATATCTTCTCTTCACAACATGTGAAATGATAAAACTTAGATATTTAAATTAAATAATTTTAATTTTTGTATTTACACTCACTTTTAACAGCACTTTTTTTGCTTTTTTTTTAAATAGCTCTTTTTTTTTTATAATTTTAAAAAAAATTTATGGCTTTAGATGCATTATACAATTTCTTTAGTAGAATGTCAGATAGATTAAAGAGATTTGTGTACATCAAAGAAATTAAGCATTTTACTAATTACCACTGAATATTAAAAAAAATTCAAATAATTAAAGTCTAAAATACCAGCATTTTAAAAGTTTTTGTACTGCATAAAAATAAGTGTAGTTAAAAACTCAAAATTTTTATACTTTTTAGGTCATCAACTAGTTGCTAATTTGATCATTGTCATAAAGTTTTTGGTTTGACAAGGATTGATGAAGGGCTGATCAATTGATTCAGCTCCCTTTCACTCGGGGACGAAACTAGTTGGCTGGCGGGAGTCATGGCACTCAAAAAATTTTGATAACATTATAGCATAAAATTCGGCTCTTCTTAATATAAAACTCAACTCTCTTTCTCAATGTATTCTGTCTAGATATGGAAAAATGCTAGTGAGCAGTTACAGCTGATTAAGTGAACTAGTAAAGTTTTGGTAATGAATCTGAATTAGAAATTGTCTAGAATTGGGAAAAATACATTAAGTAATAGTTCGTGAAAACCATGAAAGATCATCGGTGTTCTTGGGGAAGAAATGCATATGTAAAGCCACCCAGGTTTCTTCCTAAACTCCTAGTTTCATACAGCTTTCTCTTGTCTTGTTTCTGCCACAAGTTCCTCCGTTCAAATCTTGGCAGTTAGCTATTCTATATTCCAAAATATTGAGATATTAGCAGACAAAATTTCAAGTAAAAGAGGATTTTTTTACATGCATTAAAAAAAAATGTTGTTTCTCTCTGCTATTGATCAAGATTAGCAGTACCATGATGATAGGCAAAATTCTAGTTTTAAAATATGTTTCATATTGTGGACTTGAAGACAAAATAATTTCATGATGGTTCAAAATTTTCCTTAATCCATTCTTTACAGCTAGATTTTGGTCTAAATCAAATAAATATTGCTCTTAATTTCTTGAACCCTAAACACTATATGTTGTCACATTAGTGCCCAACCAACCAAGCACGATAAAGACTAGTCACATGATTAATTATTTTTTTCTTGTCAAATTAAAAGTCTCCTCATGCCGTTAGTAGAAAACAATTATGTTAATATATATTTTTTATTTAAATCATATCACTATAATTATATTATTAAATTATTATTAAATTTATTAAAATAAATATTTATTACTAATTATTATTTGTGATGTATAATAAAAAATTAAAAAATTTTCGATAATAAAATTACATAACTTAAATGAAAACAAAACAAAAACATGCGACAAACGTGAATAGTGGAATAGTCATTTTATATATTTCTTTTTCACGTTATTCACTCCAGTTAGCTTATTTTTATAGTTACAGTTAGGTTGAAAGGATCACATGTTCCCTGGTTTGGTTCAAAAATAAGGATTAGAATACATATTCTGTGAGGCGCGGATTCCTTGAAAAGGTAAAATTGAAAATCTTTGGAGGGAGTGGGTATTTGCAATTCCTGTGTTTGTGGAACTAGTTTTAAATTATCAAATTTCCAGCGTACCCTCTTATTCTTAATCTTCCTCTATCCCTGATAATTGTTCGCCTATCCCTCTCAAATCTCTCATCTCCCTCATCTTTTTCAAGAGAAATCAAAGCTTCAGGTGAAAGCATTATAAGAAAATGGTGTATTAGCAGTAATTTTGTAGTGATTTTTTATTTACAAACGTCATTAACTTTCATATTTTTATAAAATTTACAACGTTTATTATCAAAACGATACTAAATATTTAAATAGAGACATTGTTACTTATAAACGCTACTAAAGATAAAAATTAATAGTGTTTATCGATTAAAATACTTTAAATAATATTTTTTAAAAAATTGAAGTGATTATTAAAAGTATTTTTTTTTACAGAAAACATCTTGAATAATCTACTCATAAAAAATAAAAGCGATTATTGAAGGCGTTTTTTATAAAAAAAAATACCTTCAATAATTTTTTCTAAAAAATTGTAAAAGACTATTGAAGATTTTTTTGACCAAAAAATACTTTCAATAATCTCTTATCAAAATTTAAAGGGATTATTGAAGGTATTTTTTTACAGAAAACGATTTCAATAATCTTTCTAAAAAATTTAAGAAGATTATTGAATGTATTTTTTGTCTGAAACGCCTTCAATAATCTTTTTTGTAAATAGTGACATTTTTTTTTAAGTAAACGCCACTATCATAAAAAAATGACGCCTTTAAAATTTTTTTCCAAAATTTAAACCCCTTCTTTTTTCTCTGTAATTTTCTTTCTTTTCCCAGCTTTTTTCTTGGAAGAGAATGACGAGAAAGAAAAATCAAATCAAGAAGATTGACAATGTAGCAACGAGGTAGGTGATTTTCTCAAAGAGGAGATGATGACTTTTCAAGAAAGCTCATGAGCTTTTCACTATTTGCGATGTTGAGATAACTCTTCTAGTCTTTTCAGCCATTGGAAAGCGCTTTGAGTACTCCAGCACAAGATTACTCTCACTTATCTCATATCTACATGTAAATGCTTTGCCTTGATTCTTGCTCTATCTCTACTGGTTTAATATAGAAATCTTTGCCTACTGTTCGATTTAATGTATTGAATGTGCTTAGGTGAGTGTGAGAAGAAGTGAGAAACGTAATTGTTTTGAAAAAAAATCTTTCGAATCAAGAGAACTATATAAAAGTATAAATTCATGATAACTGAATGTACTTGAATCTTGTATTTTATTACAAAAAGAACTTATTTTAATAATTTGTCAAAAGCTGAGAGGTTTTGGGGTGGAAGGCTATGGTTTCACATGAATATCTGTATGATATTTGTTGATTCTTATTCGTACTTTCCTGAACCTTGTTTAAGCCATATTTTATGACTAATCAGCTATCTTATAAGAAGTTTATGCTTTCCATATATCTTTCCTGGTGCAACTTAAAGCACAAACTGATATTTTACTTTTCATTTCTCTTATCAGAACTTGATCTGTTATCATTTTCATTTTTTCTCCAACCAAACAGCTTTTAATTTTGGTTTTCTTAATTGAATCTTGTTACAATTTTAGGTTTCCTGTAATTTTTTTTTATGTTCTTTAAGATTTTCATAATGAAATTTACAAATTCTCATGATTTCCTTTCAAATTCTATAAAATTCTCATTGAACTTAAATCTAATTTCAAAACCGCACAACTGACTTATCTTTAGTCTTTTGATCAAAACTTAGTGAATACTACCTTGATTTACTTCAATTTTTTTCTTAGATTCCTAGTTCATAAGGCAATAATCCAGTAAAAATTTAGCCTCAAATTCCATCTATACAAGTATAGTTAAATCTTCAAAATTAAAGCTGAATCCAAAGGCAGAAACGATCCATGCATGAGAACTTGATGAATGATGATCATCTTTCTTTTTAGGTGTTCAATTTGATTCTCTCATACTTTACATGCTTAGTTTTACATGTTTACATATTATTTTTTAATTGATTGCATTTATTTTCATGAATCCATTTGGTGTTTGGATAGATTTAGTTGTTAATGCTCTGTTTTTCTCTATTTTAAGTATCACTTGAGTTACTAGTTCATTAAGCTGGTTTTTCTCTATTTTGCTACCATTTTCTTGTTGAATTTTGTAGCAAACTTGATTGATGAATTATAGCAGTTGAAAGGTGCATGCTGTAGACCTATCAATTTGGATTGGTCTTCTATACTTTTTCCAATTACTTTCTAATGATTTCATGATACAATTTTTGCTGTTGCTAAGTCTAAAAAAACATTGATCTCTATAGACACAACTATACCATCAGTTCAAGGTACAACATAGTTGATTTATCCATTACACAATTTGTATTTCCCTCTTGAAACTTTGTTGCGTGGTTATTTTATTTTGAATGATTGGTTTATTTCCTTCTTGAAGCATTTGAATCCATTTATTTCTATGAATTTATTTATGAGCTAAAAATATGATTTAAAATGGTTTATCTTATAAACTTCATTGAATCAAATAATCTTTATCTCTTTCCAATACAATCAAACATGAACTTGATTGAAAATCTATCTCTTAGCCTTTCATATATTCTCCTTCCAATTATATGATACTGCATTTCAAGTCTAGCAATTTCACAATGATATATACAAAATGAAAGAACTATGATTATGAAACGCATTTTCGTGAAATGCACTCAGAGAAAGAGTGTACATCCTTTTGCGTTGTGCATTTATCTTAATCATTGGTCAAAAAATATATCTTAATTTGTTGCTTTGGTTAAATCTATTTCTTTGTTATTTCTGTATGTATGTAACAATAAGATCTTGTATATCTTCCTTGATTTTATCTTGTATTACAAATTTTATGATACTTTTTATAGCTTACCTAGTGACATTTTTCAATCAGGATGGAACATGAAATTATGGAGAAGATAAATGAAATGAACTGTGATACATTTCTAATGGCACATTTTGAGGTTCCTGGAGAAATGTTCTCTTTAGCAATGGAAGCCAAGATGAGGAATGGGCGTTGTAGGCTCCATTCAACGCAAGTGCGACGCCTTTCATGGAGTCCGTTGGTAGGCAAGAAGAAAACAAACTTAAAATGGAATGTTATTGTATGTATTAAACTTTGTGTTACATGCATATTGGAACAAATTACGTATTTAGATATTTAAATATTTATAATATTCAGTTTATGAATTTAAATTCATTTTTATTTCTTTTAACAATTTTTATTTAATTATAATAAATATTAAAAAAATTAAAAAAATAAAATTTTTTATTTAGCGAAGTTTGTATTTAAAAATGCCACTAAATATTGAATTTAGTAACGTTTGTATCAAAAAATATCATTAAATTTAGTGATATTTTTATTACAAATATCGTTATTTTTAGCATTTAGCGATGTTTTTAAACACAAACGCCGTTAAATTAGCAGCGTTTTTTTATATACGAATGACATTAATTTAACGACATTTTTATGATAAAAGTACCATTAAATTAACGGTGTCTCAAATATACAAACGTTACTAATATAGCGATATTTTTCAGACAGATACAAACGTCTCTAATATAGCGATGTTTTTTCAAAAATGCTGTTATTTTTCGTTATTCGTATATAGGCGTTACTTTAAGTGATATTTTTCGTAAACACCGTAATCTTTTAATAGCGTTTATAAATACCATTAAATATTAAAAAAAACGTCACTAAAAACATAAACCTTTGTAGTGAAGGAGTTGAAAAGGAAGAGAGAGAGAAGAAAATGGAGATCTGTGAATCCTCCATAAAGGAGACGAAAGAGAAAGGGAAGACTTTCACAAGTTTTTCTTTTCAAATTTTTTTATTTTATTTTTGGAGATAAAAAATAAGGATGGAAAACTAGGGTTGAGGGAATTTTGAATATTTAATTATTTGTTTTTATCTAATGTCATAATCTATTGTTGCCAATTAAACATAAAAATAAACTCAAAATACTTTTTTTATTCAATCAAACAATAAAATACATATTCAATTTTATTTTTTTATTTTTTATTTTGTTCAAATATTAATTTTATTTCTCTTCTGTTCTACCCTATTCTGCCGACCACATCTACTGGTAATTCTTTGGAAGGCCTTGAGCAGAAATTGAGAAAGAAATTTGCTTCAAAAAAGAGTGAAAAAAAAAGTGCACATGAGTTTATCAAACAGTAAATTTTGTCAGTATGTTAATATCAGTTTGTAAGTTGGATTAGAAGTTAGAAGTTTCCTACCAAAAGTAAGCCATAAAACAAGGAAAGTCCAACCAAATCTCTTAACCCTTTGGAAGAAGAAAAACCCACAAAGAAAACGTACAACCAGTTCTAGCTAAAATCTCAAAACAATTGAGTCCTCTCCGTGATAGATCACTTCAAGCTAAGAAAGCAGTTAGGGGAAAGATGTCATGTATAGCATTGATTCAGAACCCTACTGGCTGTAATTTCATTGTTTGTTTTTCCAGGCCCTATTCTGTTTACCTTTTATCTCCTTGTTTGTTTTCTTTACATTGTTTTCCGTCATTTAAATTTTCCTGTATGGATTCAATGCAATCACCTTGCTTATTAGTTTAAAAAAATTACATTTTTAATGGCATCAATCCTAATGGGTCCTTCCAGCATAAAACTACAGGGAGAACCTGACCATATGGATACCTTCAAACAGATAAAATTGGTTTGGGTTTTTTACTCTTTGTTGAAAAGTTCTGGGTTTTGTATGGGAGTTGTTACCCAAACCAAAGTTAAGACATCTTGTCTTAACTTATAAATGACACAATTACCTAGATAGCTCACACAAATAGAAAGTGTATAATTTTTTTATTTAAATATTAAACTTTTAATTTCAATTATCAATTAAAAAAAAGAATCCAAAAATACTAATCCAGTTAGCCATATATCTATCTACTTCTAACAGTACTGACCCACTTTCAGTCTCTCAGCCCTCACCAAGTGGTTGAGTTATATATAAATATATAAATATATAAATATATATATATATAGTTTATCGTCCAAAGATTTAGAATAAATATAAAGGGTGAAAAATTAATTGAGTGAATCGTAAATTTGATGGTCCATGTGTGTAATGAAGTTGTACAGTGTTGCAGAATGCAGATGGATGAATGGAATAGGGAAAATGGTGAAAACTCTCATGTGAAATGTTGACCAATTAGCCAATGTTTTCAATTTTTCAACGAGTAAAGAACAAAAAATGATAGCGTTGGGAAAGTGAGTGAAAACTGAGAACATTTTTGCTCACTTTACGGGTTTCTCCTTGTAGCCTTGCTATTATCAAATTCCTCCCACAAAGAATAGGAAACAGTGGCTGCTCAAATGAGTCCAACACAACACAGAACAAACCTCCACCGTTAAATACTCTTATTTGTGGGGTTTAGGACCCCAGCCTCCACACTCTTTTTCACAGAGCAGAAGAAAAGCATTTGTAATTCAAATGTCAATTTCAAGCCCTTTATCTTAATGATTTTTTATTATATGCTTTCTGTCTCAAAGGGACTTGGGAGTTTCCTTTCTGGGGCAAATTCCAACCCTCAAAAGACAACCAAATGGTTGCCTCCTCACCTTGATCTTAATGCTCTTCTTTTTGCTTTGGTTGCTACCCAATGTCTCATTATTACTTTTAGATCAAACATAAGATGCTTTGCTATAACTTTTTTTGGTATCCAGTAAAAGAAACTGTTTATATACTTAGGTGCAGTTTATTCATATGGATTAAGGATTTTTTAAAGTATTTATTTATAATATATATAATTGTTAACAAAGTTATTAATTTTATTTATGAAAAAGGAGTTAAAAAAAGATTTTTTAAATGTTTTCTTTTTCAATCTTTAAAAATGTTGATAAACATTCTATGCGGCTATGGAGGACATGCATGAGATAATGAATTTGTATCGTGAAGCTCCTTTACCACCAAAAATCTGAATTTCAGTTTTTTTTAATACACAGACAAAAGAAGAGCCAGACAATGTGAATCTCGCCAAATCCTACTGCATGCCTATATTTCTAGTCCTGCAGAGCCAATAATTCTGAATTTGAACCGACTATCTAGATATAAAGTGACTAAAGGTTCGTTTGGACGGTAATGAAATTAATTTTATTCAAATTAAAAATTATAATTATAATTATAATTAAAAATTTCAATAAAATTTTTTTATAAAATAAATTTTATTAAAATTATTATTTAAATTTAATTAATGATACAACGAGCTCAACCCAAAGCTAAGCAAAAGATGAAGTGAAGGGAAATTAAGATACCAACAGGAAAATATGTCAATAGCAATGAGATCAGCCAACCACTCTTTGGTTTCTGCCTGTTGAGGATTCAAAATTTCTTTTCTGGGTTCCAGCTGTTGAGGACTCTTTGGTTTCAGCTTGCTTGGATAGCGATTATAGGTTGCTTCCAGCGGTGTTGAAATGACGTATTGGTTTACATTTTTCTTCCTCATTTACTTTGATTCTTTCCCTGGAATCCATAGCCCAAAATGTTTGAAAGAGAAAATGTGAAATCAAAGTTTTTGCTTTTGCACCCCTACCCTATACAAGCTGGGCCTCACACATTTCACATTAGGCTTTCTATAACTATTCCCCCTACTTGGATGGTCCAATCTGATCAAATAGTGTCTATAGGCAAAAACAAACAACACAGTTGCAGACCATCTATGATCTATGAATGCAGCTGAAGAAAAACAAAATCCTCTGCCTCATCACAAAAGTTACGGGATTTGCCACGGCCCTGAACCTGAACCCTTTGAACCTAGAAAAAAAACTCTTTGAAATAATCAAACAACAACAAAAACAACAAAGTCGAAAACGATATACGAAAGCTATCGAAGAAAAAGGCGCAGCATCGGTTCCAGTTCTTTGCCTTGGCTCTTTTCCCTTGGCCCCTTCTCTCCTCTCGATACCCTATCTTCCTCTCTCTCTCTCTCTCTCTCTCTCTCTCTCTCCCTCATTTTGACTCCCTTCAACTCATGCACACTGTATGAAAAAATATTTTCTCCGACATGCAAGTGAAATTCTTGTAAAAATTCTAACAATTCTTACCAAATACTTTATTATAGAAAATGAAAGAAAAAACTTTATTTAAATTGTCTCAACAACCCAGAAAAGAAAAAAAAAAAAGAAAATTTCTCTTTCTTTCCCTGTCTTCAAGTCTGTCTCTGTGTCTCTTTCGCTAATACAATTTATACAAACACTCTCTTTTTCTTTAATGTCCCTCTCTCTCTCTGTCTCTAAAGTCAAATCCCTTAAACTTTACGTTACACCTAGAGCACTTCTCCTATATATGGAACCCACCATTTTTTTTTCCATTAATTTCCTCTCAACGCTAGCTCTTGTTCTTGTGGCTCTGTTTGCTTAAACAATGGTACAACACCACCACCGGAACCGCCTCCGTCAGGACCAAGAGACAGTCGAAGAGAGAAAGGAAAAAAGACCCAAGTTCTTCATCAACGATCACGTAGACATCCTCGTAGAAATACTCAAACGCCTAGACGGCCGTTCCCTTGGCGTCGCCGCCTGCGTTTGCCGTCTCTGGTGCTCCATCGCTCGCAATGACTCTCTCTGGGAAGACCTCTGCTTCCGCCACGTGTCCCCTCCTCCTTCCAGCGTGCGTTCCATCGTTGTTGCCCTGGGTGGCTACAAGCGTCTCTACATGGTTTGCGTGAGACCCGTGCTGAGCCGACTCGGACGAGTCAGGAGGGCTTCTTGGACTCGCGACGAGGTTCAGCTCTCGTTGTCTTTGTTTTGCGTTGATTGCTACGAAAGGCTTGGTGGCGTTGGTGGAAGTAATAGTAATAGTAGTAACGGGAGGCTCGTCGGCGAATCGTTACCGTCGTCTCTAATGTTCCTTTGCAAGCCCGTGAACGTTTGATAATTCGTCGTCTTTTTATTATATATATTTTCAATTTAGTAATATACCTCAAAATGAAAACCATGATAAAATTCTTTGTAGCTTTTATTATTTTTTGTTATAATTATTTGCGAATTGTTACTCGAATTGTCATTAATGAAAAATAAAAGGTTTTTTTGGGAATAGGCACTGATTTCATTTTCCAACAAACAGTAAAACATTGCTGCCAAACAATAGCAACAAATTATGAAATTACAATACAAAAAAATATCTTTGCTTAGACCACATCTTTCACATGACTCTCTATTATCAAAAGCAATATTCTTTAATCCAGCCAATTTTATTTTGACAGCACTAATCTTTTTAATGGCATATATACATAAAGGATTAAGATCGATTTCTAATAATGTGTTTGGGTTTGTAGGCTCAGGATAAGAAAAGTTTTTTTTTTTTTTTTGGTTGGCTTGAAACATGATAAAGTGTGAAATTAAGATGGCAGTAATTCGCATGGTTTGACCGTACTATCTATTTAACACATGTTGTATTTTTTTGTTTTTTTTTTAAAGATAAATAAATTCTAACGATAATAATTTGAGGGTTTGATTAAATCTTATGGATTGATTGAAAACAAATGAATTTTGTTTGTTAAACGATAATAATTTCTCTATTGGTTTTTCTGCAATTAGCATCAAAATCCCACTAAGCGATTCAGTTTAAGTGTCAATAGGACATGATACATTATGTCTAGGGAGATCTAAAGGTTAACATGTACTTGGAAGAACCTCCATCAAATTCTTTAAGGGTTTTTGGTGAAACAGTGTATTCGGTGGTTTGGGTAGTTTAGGATGATCTTATTATGTCAAAACACATTCCACAAGAGTTGTTGGTATGTCTTCAATGCCAAACATGAGAGATTCATTATGGGGTAAAGTATCTGAATTCACAATCATTGATGATCTATAATGAAAGACATCAGGGAAAGCAACAATTTAAATAAAAAAAAAAAGATTATAAGTGAGATCTATGTGGAGTTTTTTTATTTGAGATAACAATAATAATAGAAAAAAATAGGCAGACAAAAAATAAATTTAGAAATTGATGGAATTGAAACAATCATAAAATTTGGCAATAAAGCAGGATAAAAGATCGAAAATTGATCAAAGCCAAATAAAAAAAAGAAGAAGAAAGAACAAAAAATAAACAAAAGTTTGGTGGCCATTTGAGTTCTTGTGAACTTGGCTGTAGTTTTGCTTGAAGTGGCTTTAAACCTGTGTGTTTGTAGTATTAATGCCGAGGAAAACTACGATAGTTGCATTTTGCTTAAGTTTCTGCTCACGAGCATTTTAAGTAACATTGAAGTACCTAGAGTGGCTTCTACAACTGATTTGTTAGGTGTACCTTTTATTTGCTTTTGTCTTCTCACAGTGTCTAAAGGACAGCATGTGAGAGTAGTAGCAGTAGTTGACGTCACAACTGCTAGTACAGATCCTTGAGTTTTTTGCGTTAGGTTTTTAATGATATTTTTTTAATAAATACTATTAAAAAATTTATAATATTTATGAAAAATATCAATAAGAGTATCGATTATATAAACATAAAAAATAATGATATTTTTTATAAATATTATTATATTAACAGTATTTGTATTTAAAAACGTTTTTATTTTAGCGATATTTATATTTTTGAAAAAGTCATTAATTTAGTAATATTTTTATCAAAAAAATATCATTATTATGGTGGTATTTATATGATAAGATGTTACTAAATTAACGAAGTTTGTATAAAAAATAATCACTAATTTAACGATTTTTTTTATAAGAGCATTGCTATTTTTAGTGGTATTTTATGATACAAATGTCACTAAATTATTCATTTAGCGACATTCTTAAACGTGAACACCACGAAATTAAAAAATTTATTTTTTTAAATAAAAATTTTTGTTAATATTTATTATTTTTATTAACAAGAAATGTTAATGAAATAAAAACAAACTTAAATTCAGAAACTGAAATTAATAAAAACTTAATTCACGTTCAAATATGCATCTAATTAACACAAAGTTTAGTAATTAATATAATAACATTCAAATCTTTTTAATACATTAATAAAAAAATTAAAATGTATGAAATTAATAACTACATAGATTTTAAAGGTTGCTAATTGATGAGGAAAATTTTTTCTCCTTGATCACTAAGGTGCTCAAGAACCTACTGAATAATACCATATAATTTTTAATACTTCATAGTAAGATTTTTTTATATTAAAAAATATAGATATTTACTAAATATAATATCTGAGTTGGTGGACCACCGAGATCAATTCTCGAAAATTGTTGTTGCACAAAATTCATAAGATGATCAAATCGATCATGAAATTGTTGAAATTTTACACGCTCTTGCTCTATTCTAGCATGTTCTTCTTTAATTTTGACATGCTCATGTTTTCTTTCTACTTTCATTTGCTAAAAACGTTGTTGCATAGTTTAGAACTCCTTTCTTAATATCGAAATATCTCGCAAAGATTGACTTGCTGAAAATGTAAATTACTGAGAGCTACATCCATAGTAGATAGATGGTATTGGACCCAATCCAATGCCTCGGACCCTTGCATGCCTTTTTTTTCTAGCAACTTCTATGAATATCTAATTTTTTAATTCTTGCATGTTGACAGAATCATCAAATGCTACTTTAATTTCAGCAGCCTTTTTCTCTTTCGCTTTCTCTTATAAATTAGTCATATACAACTATCAAATTTAATGATTAATTGATAATATATTAAAAAGAGTAAATATTTACTTTATGTTAAAATAGATGTTAAAAATTACCATAATTTTTTGTGTTTCGATATTTATGTAAGATCCGTCTTTTTTATGTGTTTTTAGCGAAAAAGTTTTACACATTCAATTTTATCACCCATATTAATTTCCTATACAAAAACATATGTTATTGTTAAATACATATCAACCGTAACTTATTCATGCATATCAAGCCTATCAATCAAGTTCAAAAATTTTGAATAATTTTAATATCATGTATTTAATCTATCTAAATTGTTAAAATATAAATATAACCGTAAATTTATATTTTGGTCCCTTAACAACACAATAGTCTTAAACAGACACAAACAATAAAAGCATTTTAACCTTTTATACATATCGATCATGAAAACCAAATTCAATTATTTGGACAAGTTTAATATAATGGATTGAAGCCATTCAAATTGTTCAAAGCCATCCAAAAGTTTAATTTGTATTTTTACCTTTTAAAGGCAAAAATAATCCCAAATAAACATAAATGACAATTTTTTCACCCATATCAACCGTAGAAACCAAGTTTAATCAATTAGACAAGTTAATATCAAGTATGGAAGCTATCCAAACTGTTAAAATAGAACAATAACAACAAATTTGTATTTTTACCTAAATAGACATAAACAATAACTTTTTCATATATATCATCTGTGTCAACTAAGTTCAATACTTTCAATAAGTTTAATATCATGTATTGAAACTATCAAAACTATTAAAACAAAATAATAACTGTTTATTTGCATATTTACCTTTTAATGACACAAAAAGTTCATTAATTGGAATAAGTTTAAAATCATAAACTTACTATTTCTTTTTACTTTCTTGCAAAACTTTTTGATCCACTTGTGTAGCTACATTTTTGTTGTTTTCTGCTACCAATCCCAATCTATTCTCTTTTCTATTATAAAAAATAATTGCGTATATGGTAGAAATACAAATATTACTAACTTAAAGCATAAAACACTTTCATTATTTCATTATACTATACAAAGTTATAAATTAGTACATCTTCTTTTTTTGAGAACCAAAATCTAACTAATTGGTCATATTACCACCTAATCATATTACGAGATAGATTTTTCATCATCTCCTCTACGATAGTATTTCGATCGAAATACTTATTCTTCAAATTATGCTTATCATCTTTTCATTTCTTTCATAATGGCTTAAGTACAAATGAAGTTGGTATTTCAAGTACAAATCTTGACTGTAATAATACAATAAGAAAAGTTTGAATAAGTAAACAAAATGTAAAATAATTATATTTTTATATGTAATTAATTATACTAATACCTCAATAAAGTTTAAAGCATTAGCCTTAATTTTTGCTGGAACTTTATGCCATGTTTCATAATAAATAGGCAATTTCATTCCATTACGAGCAAGCATGCCTAGAAATCCAGCCAATAAATGAGCCTCTTCACCAATTGGTTACCTATCAGAGTTTGCAGACACTAAATACGCTCGTTTAAAGGTAGTGCAAATAATTTCTTCAAAGTTGTCTGGCCTCTGGTCCTCTGTTGACCATTATTATCAACTGTAAAAAATAAAAAATTAATTTGTAAAATGTTAATACTTTAATTATTATAATCGAATTTTAAATATGAGGTATATGATACCTGCATTCAAATTTAAAGCATAATCAATTAACGGGATACTATCTAAACCTTAACCTCCCATATTGACAAATCCAATAACAATTGAAGGGTTAAAAGTGACTGAGTTAGATTCGACATTACGTTCATTCTCCTTCAAAAGATTCAGTCCATAGCCAATATTAACAAGTGCCATAAAAGGTTCTGAACTAATATTTTTATATATATTCCTTTCTATTTACTCTTCCGCATTATAGCTTACCTCCATTATAAAAGTGAATATATAAAAGATATTAGTTTAAAACATATATAAAGACATTAAGAAGTTAAGAAATCATAACCTACGATATATAAAGAACATATCGATTTAATTAAATCAAAAGATAATGTATGATTTACAATACAATAAATATATAATAGTGAATGTGACATTAATTACATACAAGCATTTACTACATTATGTCTTAAACACTCGAATTACAAAATATAGATGATCTATCATGATTCATAAATGTCTTCAGTAACATCTTCGCGGGCATATTGAGCGTAGGCACTGGAGATATTTTCATCCAAGTTTTGTTCTGCAAAAGATAACATTTAGTTCTATGTTCAATATCATTTTTGGTATCTAACCCTATATCAAAAAAGTCTTTAGGTATGTTTCGAAGAATAACAAACCAACCCAATTCTTTGGGATTTTAGAATAAAAAACTTATTTGACTTGAGATGAAAAAGCACAAGATTCATCGATGAGTTGTTGTCCAATTTGAATTAATCTAAAAAAATTCACAAGTGTAAATCCATACTAATCTTTTTTAATACTCCTCGCACTATTCACATAAGCCCAATCACATCGAAA